CCTCTCTCCCACGTGTCTCCCACCTCAGGGCCCCCAGACCCACTGCACAGACTCTCCAGCCCAGCCCGGCTCCTTCCCGATGCAGAGAAAGCCGCCTGATGGAAAGTCGCAGCGGGGCCGCAACCCGATCGCAGCCCTCCGCCCGCAGCCGCCGCCAGATCCTCGGCGGGATCTAGTTACCCTTCTCTGATTCCTGGTTCCAGGGGCCCAGCACGGCCCCCCGACTCAGGCAGCCTGCAGCCCCGCGCCTGGTACCTCTCCCAGGGTGGCCCAGGCTGGGCGAGTGGCAGGCGGGGGCGTCAGTGCCATCGAGTGGCCAGGTGCGCCCAGGCACCCCCATCCAGGCCCAAGCCAGGGTGCAGGCAGTGTGGAGAGGCCGGCCGGGCGGCCTGGTGGTGCGGGGCCCAGGAGAGGCCCCCGGTTTGCCAAGATGGCAATAGTGTGATGGAGAGAGCGATGCCCGCCTCAAGGACCACACCGAGGGAAGGTGACATGGGACCGTGAGCGTGGAGCAGATGGCGTCCCAAAGGCCGTGTGGACCCAGGGCCGGAGGAGCAGGCCTGGAGCCCACCCCCGTGCTGTAGGCACCACAAGGAGCCCACTCTCCCCCTTCCCCGGGTGAGCGGAGCCGAAGCCAGCCTTGCTGCGTGGCCCTGGGGACTCCTAAACTGTCCTTTGTGTTGCTGGGGCGACTGGTCTGTGAGGTCTTTACAGGGTCTGGTCTAGGGGGTTGTGGGGGCCGAAGCCCTCTCAGCAGTCAGATGTGAAGAGCGGGCTGGGGGAGGCCGGAAGCCGGCCACCCCTGACTCCAGCCCCTCCCGGCCCCAGCCGCTGGGACCACCTGGCTAGACTCCCTCCCCCTGAGCCCACGGGGGCCATCTTTGGGGATGTGCAGGGGTCAGCTCAGCCGCACCCTGCCTGTCTGTCTCCTGCACCTGCCTCCGGGGCTGGGAGCCAAGCGGTGAAAGCAGAGCTGCCCGGCCTGGGCCCGGGCCAGCCGTGGCGCCCTCTTCCTCATTGTAGCGTGTGCCACTCGGGCCTCCCTGGGGAACGGGCCCGGGGCCACGGGCATTTCCAGCCAAGCCTCCGGAGCCTTGCCTCGGCCTCGTGGGTCCCGGATGCTCCGGCAGCACCCCTTCGACCCTCTGGAGGCCATGACGGGCCCCCCACTGGGGGAAAGGGCCTGGGGCTGGGCCTGTGTGGGCCCCAGGGAGCAGGGAGGGCGGACAAGACCCAAGAGTGCTTCCTCCGTTCTCCAAGCCCTGGGCAGCACCCTTGGAGGCACATGCAGACACTGGGGAGACAGACAGGGTTACATGTCCCTTCGCGGGGGCCAGAGTGGGATTCCGGGAGACAGACCTGGACACAAAACCTCACAATAGCTCGGTGCACGCCGTGGGTTGGTCAAGTGAGGCTGGTCTTGGCCCTCCCTGGGGGCTGGCATCGTCCATCTCTGCGACCCACACGCATTGAGGGGGCACCAACTGTGTGCCTGGCTGGGCTGTGTGCCAGGTACCCACTGGCAGGGAGACGTATCCTCCCCCCAGAGATAGTGCCCACATGAGATCTTCCCAAGCCCCGGGGGCCCGGGCCTAGCCGCGATGCCAGGGAAATGTCCGTGGTCTGGGGGTACAAGCCATGATGCTGTCCACACCTGTTCCTCGCTGGATCTCACTTTGTGCCACCTCCCAGGGCTTTGGGAACACCCATGGGACACGTGCCCAGCAGCACTGCTCAGTTCATCTGTGGGGGGGGGG